CGCTGAGAATATGTCACCGGCTGCATATTTAATTCGCGTTTACACGAAAGATCATCACAAGTCTCTGTCGTTCATGTTGCCTAACCTTTAACACTTATTGTATTCTCCAATCATGATTACTCTCCAAAAAAAACGAAGATCGAACCACGACTTATTTAGAATGGAACACGGTCTCTTCGCGAGTGGGTAACAACTGAAAGAGCCGTCAACGTCACATTTTCTTTAAATTGCTAAATTTTCAGTAAAATAAAGACGAAATACGGCGATTTATTGGTCACTTTTGTAGCCCTTCATTCGATTTTGTTCACACTCTTGATGCATTAACGTCGGTGGCGTTGTCGCAATATTCATGCAAAGTAATTCTTGGCAGTGTGGTGTGTATGTGTGTGCTTCTGTTTCTTTTTCGCAAATAGATTTTTGTGCGGTCACATCGGCTTGTCATGATTATTGTATGTTTTTTTTAGCCTGGCGCCATTCTCCAATAGTATGAAGTATAAGCAAAAAAAAATAAAAGCGGAAAAATATGAACTCCGTATCCACAAGTATTTTTGCAGGTATTTACTGTGGGTATATACACACACCCAACAGCACTGCACACAAGATACACACGAGTCAACGGAAAAATTGATTTTGTAGTATGGCTGTTCGTTTTTTTTCTCTGTAATTTCGCTATATGCCACTATTTATAAGTAGCATCTGGATCAGGTGGCGCCGTTCGAACTATATATATATACATAAGTACACATAATGTTAACTGCATGGTCAAATGAATCGTCAAAGTACTTGCCGTGCGGCTCAATGAAAATTGGTATTGATTTACATGGAAAAAAATATTGGTGATAATGGACGAAATACCAAACATTCGGATGAGTCAATACCTCTCAATTAGATTCAATGCATTTACATATACAGTTTCGAATACAAATGAAATTTGTAGCGCATCGTGTCGGGTTTTGAGCCAGCTAAAAGCAGAACGGAAACTTAAAAGAGCAAAGGCGACGTTTAGCTCGCAAACAGTAATAATAACAAAAGACTTGCATGTATGGAAATGTCACCAATTATCAATGCTTCCTCGGTTTGATTCCCCAATAATGGAAATTACAAAAACGCGTCGCGAATGAAAACAAAAAAAAAGATAAGATACTGACATTAGCTATGTACATGTGTATATATTATATATGGCAACTAATGATTCTGTCCCGCTTCTACTGGCGCCATCTCAATTATTCGAGGCTTAAATGCGTTCGCATTTTTTTTTCTATATAGATACTGAAGCATCGACCGTCCGACCGATCGAACACACAGCCACACAAAGTCGTGTGTGTGTGCGTGTGTGTGTGTGTATGTGCTTTGACTGATGTTTTTTTTTTCGTTCGTATGTTAAAACTCATCCGTTCAACGGCTAATAGACGGCCGTCACTGTTGCTGTTGTAGCGGAGGCTGCCGCTACCGCTACCGCTGTGTACACATTTCACAAATACCAACGATCGACAAAAAATGAACACATTGTGTGTGTTTTTTTTTTCTTCTTCTTCTTTCGTTAATGTCGGAATTTTGACCGTATAAATATATTCGTATGTAGCATTTTACCATGTGTAAAGCATTTCACGGGCGCCGTATGTACCTTCTTTAGGCTTTTTCACATTTTTCCGCTCATTTTCTCAACAAGCGATCACTAGCAGCCCGCAAATAATTATTTCGAATTGCAAATAATGGAACGATGAACTTTTTGTGCGCTTTACGTGATCTTCAGTCAACAACTGGGTGGGACCCCGAATTTAATTCTCAATTCAAAAGGCAACGAAAAATATGCGAGTTGAATTGATCAAATATTGCCTTTGTAATGATGTCGATATGATAAAAAAATTGAATAATGTTTTTATGCTGGTTAGGCATAATGTGCGACCACCGTAGTGCTGCTTCCGTACTAATTTCGATTGAAACTTTCCTTCCACTGTTACACGACACACAAGTGCCGGTCCAACCGATGCTCTGCAAGGCGAACAAATATATACCATTGAAGTGGATATATATGCTCAATTTCGTACAGAAGTTGTTGTAGCGAATTATAAGGCTTGAACGTGGATGAAAAACTCACTTCTCACTTTAGAGCGATGAGATTAGTAATGAATATTAAATATTTATTGAAATGAGCGTAGGAAATTTTTTTTTCTTCATCAAAATTCACATCAATAAATAAGAGATGGGAAAAAAAAAGTTTCAAGTAAAAGAGTGAGAAAAAAAACCAAATTTTATTCGTTAGTTTCGAAGCAAAATATTCGTTGACCAATGAATGTTCACAATACTACGCTGAGACGTGCATAAGTCCTTACTCTTAGGAAGGGGCGATGCAATTGCGCTAATCCATATGAAGCGAGAAAAAAAATCCGCCGCTAAGCAGCAGAAAGATGAGAGCGATTCAGTACAAGAAGAGCATGGTGTTCCGGTGCAACAGCTCGGAGTTATGAAATGAGTATTTGTTTTTATGCATTTTACTTGCCAATTAGTTTCGGATCAAATCGTTTTTTTATATACGGTAGCACCCGATATAGTATTTATAAACTTCAGTTCTGCCAACTATGGACTGCGCAGCAAAAAAAAATCTAACACAGCATCCATCCAAGTCAGGTTAATAATATTAATCGACAGGCGGAAAGGGATATCTCACTCGAAGGAAAAATAACCGCAAACTGACAATGTAAAAAGGGGATATGCATAAAATGAAGTCAATATAATTTATTGGCTATCAAATGGTATCATGATTTAGCACGAAAATCGAATAAAATGTGCTCGGATATCGTAAATCATTCAAAATTTAAGCGATGATTTTATTTTTTATTAGCGAATCATTTAATCGGTCTTTTTGGATTAAATGTGATTTTTTGTGTGAGTATGCGTGTATGTGTGTGTGTGTGTCACGTTTGAAATGTGACAGCGAAATGATTCAAAACTGTTTCTAATTTGTGTTCGAGAGTATATAAACTCAACAGAATGCAGCCAATAAAAACGATCGTAAAAATGAACAATTTATGAAAGCGTATTTGAGCGATGATCACAGCTACAAGAAAAACTAGACCGCAGAGCTTTGCTTCGCTCCGCACTGCGTTCTTGAGTTTTTAATTACTTAATCTATTTTGTTGTTTCACAACAAACTATTTTTTGGCGCACTACATGAAATGTATTTCATCAAAGTAACTTTGAAGTAATATATTCATTTGCAAAATGAATTACAAGATCTTGGTTTAATTTCTTTTTTGAAATATACTGCCTTTGGTTTAAATTAAATAAATAATATGGGCATGAAATTCAAATTCACCATAATTTGTTTCAACACTCAAAAAGTATCTAGGAAAAAAAAGAGCAGCTTAGTAGCTCTACATTTCATGTAGTGCTAAAAATACCACTGACTTGTAATGTCGATAAATTTAATATTTATGTACAACATAACTAGAATCATTTAATGGGGCTTTTTATATCTCGTTTATAGTGATCGATGTTTACTGTCGCTTTATTAAACGATCTTGGTGACAATTCTGTTGCAGTCGAACATTTCAAATACGAGGAACTGGTTGTGATTTCTTAAAAATTTCTAAACAGCGGCGGCTGCTGCTGCTTCATTTCAATTTGAATATACAATTTGCCAGGAAATGATAGTTGCCTTCTAGATTTAATTTGGAATTTGAAAGTATTTCGAAGGCTGTTTCAAGTGGCTTGAATTTGAAAATAGCATATTAGTATTTTTTAAAAGCCTTAAATCCTCTTGAGTTCATTGAAAGTGCATTTTTGGGAATTGTCCTATTCGACCGACATTAGGTCATTGAAATTGAGTATCGTTACGATTTTGAATTCGAAAAGGTCTGTTTAATCACAAATAGAGGAAAGAAAGTTTTCTATTTGATTGCTCATCACACGCATGCCGTTCATTCTTTTTTTCTCTGAGTGAGTGTGTTTCTGTCTCTTGCTCACAATTTTTATGTTCGTTTTTTCCACATACAAATTTGAAGTTTATTTTTAAATATTGTAATAGTTATGTGCGGCGAATACGTCGTAATTATTATAGCATTATTAATGCTGATAACGATCATAACACATATTTTCGAAAGCACCACAAATATTTCAATATTCTCGGCAATTTCATTCGAATATTCGGCACCGAAAAAAAATATAAACGCAAATGATATTTGAGAGATGAAAAACGAAAGCCCTCAGTCAAATTGCGTGTGTGTGTGTGTGTGTGGGGAGGATGAGGGAAAGTGCGCAATGAATCGTGATGGCAATATTTAGATGTATGAGCAATGTTTTAATTATAAATAAAACATTCACGGTGTAATCAGACGATCTTCGATGCCGATGATATTTCAATTAAAAACTTTATATTTACAGTAAGAATTGTATGTGTGGCTTTTAAAATCGAAAACCCGTTAGATTGTTTTTTTATTATTGCGGTGGGAAAAATTCATGAAATTACAATGAACGAAGAAAAAAAATTGCGAATAAAAACGCTTCTGGCGATCTGTCGAGCAAAAAGTTCGCGACATGGCAAAATTTATGTTCCATAAAAGAGAATGCACGGTGCTCAATGATGAATGAAAATTCCATGTCTTTGATTTCTGAGTCGTGTGTACTGTTCGTATTGTACAAAATACACCTAAAATTGACCAAATGACCTGACCGACTTGCACTGCGCTGCTGCCTATTACATCATTAAAAATCGATTTGTTCTACGACATCGGCCGACAAACCGAAATCATTTTGCGGTTGGTTTTTTTTTCTTCGTTTTTCTGATTGTTCGATAACATCAAATGGCTTTGTAATTGCATCGAACTAATAACCATGGAGCATTAATTAAACCAACGGATGCGTTTTGTTCAGTCCCAACACTCCTCTCCGTCAATTCAATCGTAAAGCATTCTTTTTTTCGGAACGATGCATTGCAGAAACAAAAATCATTCATGCTTTCGAATCAATATATAAAATGTATCATGCATGTGATATCTTACCTTCACCATCGGTACTAAGTGACCCTGGAAAAATGCTAGGATCACGCACACGCTCTTCGCTGGTACGATCTGAAAATTGAGATAAAAGAAACTGTTTAGAGAAATCCACTTCGAAAAATATTTTCTGACTCAAAGCTCATTCGCCGAAAAATGTTTGTCATAAGTCAAGGAAATGCGGAATTTTATTTCTCAGAAACACTGAACTCGCTTGAGATTTTCAACAGTTCAATTTGGCTTACGTGAAGATAGTAACCCCAAAGAGCTCTCTTCTGTAAAATGTGCAAATCGAATGATTTCGCATACATAAAATGGGATAATCTATCACAATCCTATTTGTCACCATGCTTCAAACAAATGTGCTGTATTTCAAACATTTATTGTACCATGGAAAGCACGAGCACTGGTGCAACGCTTGTATTCGTGAAACCAGTCGTTTTGATGTAACAACATATATATTACATGTTCACGCCGACCAGTTTGACATAAAATAAATGCACCGCATTTTAATTGATCATCCAGTTAACGTTTTGCAAAGTGTATTGGAGCCGCAGTGAAGCAATCGAGTGTGCATAAAATAGCAATCAATGCTCTCTTTTTTTCTTTCTCTTATTCATGGTCTCTTGCTTCTGGCCGCTTACTATTCTAAACAATCAGTAGCGAATTTTGTTACTGTCTTCATGAGCGCCTGATCAAAAAGTGAATGAAAGCCACATATCGGAAAGATTCGACACTAATTATGTGTACATTGTTTTCCAAGCGCATCAATATCATTCTTTTCATTTTCTGTAGCTGTTGCTTCAGATTGATTGAGCTACTTTGCTTATCTAAATGATGTTTTGCGAAAATGACATTTTTCACTGGTGAATCGGTCTACTTAGTGCAATTTATGGCAATAAATTTCTTTTGGCATGCAAAAACCAAATTCCCATAAACTTTCATTTGGGATTCCTGGCTTTTATGGAAAAATACGTGGACACTTCGTAAAAAAAGGAATAAAAGGTAGAAAAAAGGAACAAATTCAAGTTCAAATGAAGATCATCAATATGCAAATTTGCAGACATCGTTGTTGGTGTCGTTCTTTCTGTCCGATAGTAGACAAATGTACTTGCAATCATACGCAGTCAGTCTGTTAGAGAGTTGCGTTTGTTCATCGATACATATTGAAATGACTTATCGCTCGCTTGACGCAAAAGGCAACAACAACATTTTTTCGATAAATTGAAACAATAAACTATATTTGTATATTTATGCGTCAATAAATGTGCGCAGTGCATTCACCTTTTGCTTTATTTACTAAGCGAGTTTCACACGGTTGCAGACAGTGATATATGTAGTAAAATTAAATAAACAAAAAAAGGAGAAAAAAATGGCGAATAAGCAAAAATACACAGTACACAATCGATACACTGTCTCATCGAGTTCAGCGGCGGTTGCAACATTGTGATTGCGATGCATTTTTTCATATTTTTAATGCCAGTGCCATAGCACAAAAAAATGCTTGATTCACCTTTTCAATTTTAGATTGTAACAGTCATAAAGTGGTTATTTTTGAAGAAACCAATCACTAAACGATCGAATCAACCGCAAGCGAAAAACCTCGAACTAGAAATTCTATAAGGATCCATATATTTATTGGTGTATCGGTTAGAGTGATGTATTGACATAGGAGAAATTGGTTTTTGTGAATGAAATCATTTTCGTAGGGTATTTCACTCTGTGTATACCTGTTCAGCGCTATGGCCAAACAATACAACAAACAATAATTGAAGTGAGGTAAAGGACGAGAGAGAGAGAGAGAGAGAGAGAGAGAGAGGAATGTGTGTCATATTTGCTACGAGGCGCCGCCAATGAAACGTAGGCTTATCAGGATGGAGGGTCATGTTTATTGTTTATCTCAAATAAACAATGTAGAAAGGAATAGCCCTTACATGATATTTCAAAATAAAACGGCTAAAGTCGCGACACACAATCCAGCCACAAAGACATATGGATACGATTGGACAGGTCTACCTTATTTCCTTCTGATTATTTTTTTCAAGTGCATTCGAAACTACATAGTGAATGGCATAGGAGAGAAAAAGACAGAAGAAATAAACGAATCGAAATCAAGACGACGATACGCAAACAAAGGAGAATAAAAACTATCGTCGACGACAGCAAGACGATAACAAAACGATGAGAGAAAAGACAGAAAAGCAATGCTCAAAAACCGACTATGGATTTTGCCTGTTTCGTTTCCTTTTTTTTCTCTATGTACGTTGCGTCAACATGTGAGCACATCGGATAGCCTGCACATTACAGTATTATTTACAGTCATTTTTCGATTTGTGGCATAAATCTCTTTTCATGCAGCACCTTTCATCGTTTTCGTGTCTATGTATTTTTGTTTGGTGTGTAAGTGTTTCAAATGCTATGTGATGTAAGCAGTGAAACCGCATTACCATTGCACTTCAGCTCGCCGCACACATGTAAATGCATTCGTAAGCGCCAGCGCCGTTTTAAAAATTTTGTGATTAGGTTTCTTTTTTACATCGCACTTGATTGCCGCCTTCCCATTTTCTTGGTGTTTCGGTTCATTCGACAGCTATTATTAGCTGAATTGAAGGCGACTAGCAACTAAAAAGAACAATGAAATCGGACAGTGTCTGATAGCAGACTACAAACATATGTAAATGTGGGCATTGAAGATTCGATAGAAAACATTTCACTCATGAAAATATCCAAATAATCGATCAAACTCATACAAACTCGCTTAAATTCATATTAAATCCAAATGAGTCTGTTACGTTTTTAGCCGCATTTTATATGTTTCTCATTCTCTGTGAACTGAAACATCAACGGAAAGTTGAAATAAAATAAAACACATATTCTTGAATCTTTTACGTCTAGGTTAATAGGCGAGACTGTTCAAGTCGAATCGTCGATGTCTGCGTAATTTCATATAGACGAAGGAAGAATAAAAAAAAACATTCCCAAAAACCAATTTAATGGCGTCACTTTATCTTAACTCGTCTCTACTTATTTTCTGTTCTGTCTGTTTTTGTTCCATTTTATTGTTTTTAATTTTGTTATTCAATTCGTTTCAGCTTTATCGAAAATTAACAGAAAATTTATAGATCAGTGACAATAACTCCTTGATAATTGCCTCTTTTGACTTATTTTTTTTTATTTTTTTTTTCTTTCCCTTTCTTTCTCTTATTCGTATGGTGCGATTCAATATTAAACTGGCACACAATACGTGCAGACAGTGTACAATATACATTGTCTATTATAGTATAGAACTTACCTTCGGGTTTCAGTCTTTCCATGGCAAATTGTGAGTAAGGAGGTGGAGGTGAATCTGTAAATATGAAAAGGAACAGAAAAAAACATATGCTTACTATTATTAATTTAATCATAAACATTTCCGATTGTATCGGTTTTATTAATGAAGTGTAACCGTTAAAAGTCGACCGTTTGGCCGTTGTCATAATTCTGAATATATTCGACAGTAAGCCACCAATTCATGTATGCGCAACCATGGCTGTTGAATGTTGTAAATACCTTGTGATTTATTTGCGAAATGCCAATCGGATTTATAGAATAGGAAAATGATGAACACAACCAAGGGAAAAAGCAAAAGAGAGTGTGTATAATAGAGATAAAATGAGAAGACATCTTTGAAGAAAAAAAAATGTAAATTTTCGACAAGATGATTAATAAAAAAGATCACAACAGAAATTCACAGTGTCAGAGACACAATACATCTATCCGGTCGGTATTTAAGAAACGGTAGATAAACTATAAAACTTTTTATTACAATTTTTTTTTCATGACTGACATGATACCAACACACACCCATGCAAGAAGCAATAGTAGAAATTAGAAATGGGCACATGCAAGATATACACAAACACACATCATCTATCTCTCTCTCTCACTCTCTTTCTCGTGCGTTCTCTTGTCGACGAAAAATCCTGACCGGAAGATGAGACCATAAAAAGAACTTTACTCGGATTAACGAAAAAAAAAATCGTTATCAAATTGCTTGGCTTGGTTGAGCATGTTCCATGTATTAACGCTTATTCATATATGGCAGAGAGACAAATCCGAACGACAAACATCAAAACAGCTTAGACGGGAAGCACACATATGTTTATTATAAAATTTTTTAACGCAAACGTTAGATTAAACTAAATGGCATGACCATGCGAACCCAAGTGGAATTTTGAACATCACACAGTGAACAACCTAGATGATTTCCAAGCTCAACGTACCATTTCAGTTACGCGCAAACACACACATATTATGCTATATGTGACACAAAGTGATATGCTTAAAAGACGATCTATGTGCTGCTAATCTTTTCGTGTAATTTATATTGGTCGCATTCTATGATCACGAGAAGGTAACTTCATTTCCACTCATTTCCATTGCTTGCTGAATCATTGCCGTTTTTTTCATCGTCTAGTCAATCCAATCGACAGAGGCATAGAGTCGATGGAAATTGCATGGCGAACGGAAGGAATGAATGATATGAATGGTGAAGCACGCAATTCGTTCGGTCGCATGTTGAATCAAATGGTCATTTAATGGTCACAAAGAATGACCATTTATTGAATAACTACTATTTAACTACACTGTTAGTCGGTTCTTTGTAATTTTTTGCATTTCGGGCGTTTACACTTTGCTATTTTCAAAATGTCTGCACTCACAGTCGGGAAAAAATAGAGATAAACGACGCACATTCATTTCAATCGATCTGCATTTTCGAGCGCATTGCCAATATGTGGCCCTTGTCATTGGTTACGCTTAGCTTTTGATAAATTGTATGATAACCTGTTTTTGTTCCCTGTTCATGTACACTCCCTCCTTTTCATCTCCGTTTGTCCACCGCATTTCGATTTTAGAAAACCAATTAAGCAATTTATATGAAGAAAAAAAAAAGAACCAACGAAAAAAAAGACCGAGACTTCAAATCGAGACAACGAGAACAAGAACCAGCACAACCGATATACATGTAATGGACTAAGACATGGAATGTATATACGTTAAGTCACAGCAACGAAGCATGTATACAATTCCAATTTCAATTCCAACTTCGAATGGACATTTACTGTGTACTATTTATATGAAATGTCACATCTTTAATGTGCATTGCGTTTATGATCATTTGATCGTTGGATTAGTAGCCGTGCATTTGATTCTTGATTTTTATTCACCGTAAACCAATTGGTTTTTGATTGGGAGATGGCGAAAGATCAAAACAAGAACACACACATGTGAAATTAGTTTATGAATTTGAAAAAAAAGAAAACAAACGAAAGAATCTGGCCGATTCTATTGGCAGTCGAAAAAATTTGTGCAAAAGTGAACTTTAAAATGGTAAAATCAAGTAACTGATTGTCATTTCATTGCATTTGACAGTCATCATCTGTAAATTTATTTTGTCCACACGGAAATTAAAAGCCAAACGAGTGACCGAACGTATTCGATTCTTCATCATACCGAGATACATGCATTTCACTTATACATTAGGTCCGCAAAGAACCTCAATTTCCGTATCGCTTACATGTATATGGTTCTCTCTGTGGTCTTTTTGTGTATGAACGTGCATTGGTATGTCATGCTTTTGTAACTCCACACACATTGCTCTTTTGTTAAACGAAGAAGAAAAAGAAGAAAAAAAATGATCGAATGGGACTTTTTTTCTTTCATTTCCAGAAATCAAATAGGAATGTAAACGCCACATGAAAGAAAAAAGTCAAACAGTCGAAGAGAATGATGCGATTCCAAGAGGAGTGGATATCGGACAAAAGATAACTTAAACATTTCGCCGGTTTTCCTTTTTCTACGTTCGTTCGCTCGTTGGCTCTCCGATTTTTCTTGTATGGGCTTCGACAAAAAAAAGAAGGCACACTGAGAGTAGAAGACAGAAATACATCAGGCTAATGGATTTATAATATAACCAAAACGTGCGCAATGTATATACATATTTGTATTTAGAGGTTTAAATAGAGTATGAGCATGTACGATCTACACTGAAGAGAAGAGAAATGAAGAGATGAAAAGTTGAACATCTTGTAAAAGTTTTCAATTCAACGGTTGCTCTTGGCTGCGCCATTCTTCTTCTTTTTCTTCTCTTCCCTTTTTTTCTGGTCATTTTGTCGTTGCTATTGTTGGTGTTTTTTTCCATTTTTTTTACTGGCCTATTCATTCCTGTTTGTTTTGGCTTGTTTGGCAAGCTTGTGTATGCGATTCTTGTGAATTGTTTGTGTGCTTATTCGGATTTTTCTTCAATTTTTTTTTCTACCTTTTTCTCTTTGTTTCTGTTTGCACAGATAGTGGCCGTGAACGGAAAATGAACGAAAAAAAAATGTTCAAAGAACAAATAAAAACCAACATCGACAGAAATGGTGGAACACAAAAGTCGACGATGAAGAAAAAAAAACACACAAAAACCGAACAGACTTTATTGAAGTCTTCAATTCCAAGTAGAGTTTGACCATAGCATAAACCAAATATAACAGATAAGGATTAAGGAGAGGATCTTTCGTCAGCAAACGCCATCGTAATTAATATCTTTTTTCCCGTCACCGCTGTCGTATTCTTTGTGTGGATGTGTGTGTGTGTGTGTGTGTGTGTCTTTATTGAACGAGATTTCAACTTGAAACATGCATTGCATGTTTATCGATTTCAAATCGATGCTCCACTATTTAATTTGTTGATGTTTGTTCTTTTTAATGTGATCCACAGCATAAACAATCTGTGTAGCTTCATTGAAAATTTTTGTTTTACGTGCTACTATGGTTTGTTTCTTTCTTTTGGCTTTTTCTTCTGAGCGTTTCAAGTAATTACACAGAATGATCGATCTCAAATGTATTTCGAATGGGAAATCTATTTTCGTTGACTTTCGATTCTTGTCTATTTTCTATGAAAACCGTTGCGCTTTTTGGTTGTTTATGTTGCTGTTGCTGTTGCTGATGCGTGTTCACAAACTGAAATGACGAACATTTTGATTGGTTGAACAAATGTGATCGTTAGATCACACTCGGCATTTTTTTTTTTGTATATCGGAACCGTTACGCAAACTGGTGTGAAAGAATAACACATACAAACACAGTGAGCATTCCATAAATCAAATGTGAATCGATTATGTTTATATTCGCGACGCAAATATAAGGCAAAAATCGATCGACGTTTTCGTTTCCCTCTGATGTTTCTCATTCACATACACACACACACACATATGGCAAACGCTCGAATGTGTTTAACATACAAAGTGTGTTTAGCCTACGCAATCCGAATGAATCGATGTCTTCTCCGCAAAAATATTACTACGTTGCTTCTAAAAGTGTACAAATAGTAAAAACGTTTGAGAGCGCGCATGAGAGAAAAAAAAACACAAGCATCTTTCATACATAATTTGTACACCATACAGATCGACAGGAAAATTTATTTTTGAGCATCTCATAAAAATAAGTATTTTTTTGTCTATCAAAAATCACATCGAGTTTTGTAAATGGACATCGCAAAGAATACAAATGCACGAAAATGTTACAAAGAAGAATTCAACACACATGGTGTAGCATTGAACATGATTTTCTGAATGAATCAGTCGATCGTATTTTTGATCTTGTTTAAACACTAAGCTTATAAAAATTCAAGAATCGCTTGAGATTCTGATATCATCATTTTAATCATATCGTTTTAGCATTTATAATATCGATCTCTAGCATGTAATGAGTGTCAACATGGGCTTTTGCTATCCGAAACGCACAACTTCTATCGAACTGATGAGCTGAACGAAAATGAGATAGGGATAGAACGAGAGAGAGCGAGAGAAGGGGAAGAGGGAGATAGATACAACATTCATAAAAATATAAATGTTCACATAAAGTTTTTGGCATACGATTTTGTAGTTTTCCATTATTTCTGTTTTTTTTTTCTGAATGAATACAATAAATCAAACGACTAAAGGGGCTCTCTGTATTGGATGGATTTCGCATGGAAATGAGTAGTGGTCAACTCAACCTATTTGGATTAACATTTGACTTGATCCATCGAAAATTGACACCGTCGACCATTCAAGTGCTTTGTCTATGTGTATATTCCTGTATTAACATAATAGTCCCAGCTTAAAATGATCACCAGCAATGACACCGTGATGGTTTCAGTCACAACGGATTCTATTGCGTTAAGTCGTTAATAGTTGACACATTCGATAACAACAACAAAATACTCTTTGATTTCGATTGGTTGGTTTTTCGATTGCACTTAAGTCAATCGCACGTTTGTCAATCGGTTGAAGGTACCCGTTTGCCAATGATATTGAGCTGGAAGAGTATTCGTGTTGTGTCG